AGGGTTGGGGGCTCCTGGTGTGCAGGGTTGGGGGCTCCTGGTGTGCAGGGTTGGGGGCTCCTGGTGTGCACGGTTGGGGGCTCCTGGTGTGCAGGGTTGGGGCTCCTGGTGTGCAGGGTTGGGGGCTCCTGGTGTGCATGGTTGGGGGCTCCTGGTGTACAGGGTTGGGGGCTCCTGGTGTGCAGGGTTGGGGGCTCCTGGTGTGCAGGGCCTCTGAGCTGGGCCAACCTTCCTGTTGTAAATGATTTAATTTTCTCTTTGTGGAAGGCAATTCCAATTTCTTAAATCATTGCCTGGCAAAAAGTAAGATCCTCCAAAGTTGTAAGTCCAAGACACGTGCGCTCCTCCGCCTTTGCAGTTTGCTTAGAACACCTCTGCCCACAGTGCAGTGTGTGCACGGCATCGGCCTGGGAACTGGCCTGCGATGTGATTCGGTGCAGAGTTGGCAAAGACTGACCTCTGAGGAATATTATTTCTGTCTAATTGAAGAGCATCGGGATTCCGTTTCCTGGTGCTGTTTCTACTCACGGGGCTTTATTTTATTTTGTCAGCCTGTCAGTTCACAGCAGATTCATAGAGGAGGGCAAAGATTGTTTGGCTGCCACCACCTTGTACATGGAGAGGCTCCAGGAGCAATACCTGCTCTGGTGTTTAAGTCAGTTTGCAGACACAGGAGGAAAAGTGCTGTAAGAACGGGACTGTGGAGCTCACTGCAGGGCGAGGCTCGTGGGCACTTTGTGGAGCTTCTCCCCAAGGGGGACAGTGCTGGTAACTTGCCTTCAACTGTGCTCCCAGGGCGCAGAGGACACAAGAGACCAAGAGGCTTTCCCCTGAAGACGTGGAGTCCATGAGAGACATCCTGACACACAACCTGTACCAAGTGCGACAAAGGGTGCGTACAAGCCGCTGCCCGGTGTCCCCGGCCTGCCCTGGGGACCGGCCCTCCTAGAACCTGTTCTCGCTCCCATCAACCTCTCCCTGAACGAGTCTTCTCTGCTTGGTTGGAAGGACAGAAAGTTCTTTGTCAGGCTTCTGCTGTAAAGTTGGCACTGGCGGCATGAAAGGAAATGCAGCTCCAGTTGCCATCTCTAGGGGTCAGGCTGCTCCAGCCCTGCGCCTGGAGGCTTCTAGAAACCCGGGGTCTCCTCTCTTCCAAAGAAGGACCAGCTGTCACGGTCACCACAGCACCACAGAAGAAGTGTGGCACCAGGGCACACCCCCGTCTATTACCAGTCTAATAAGGGGCTGTAAAATTGACACATTGACAGTGTGATGCTTAAAGCTGGAATAAAAGGAGACACATGAGGCATTTTAGTTTTCAGTTTAGGAAATAAGCATGGAGTCTTTAGTAGATCTTGGTGCATGCAAGAATATTTCTTAGGATAATGGATGAGTCCTTCTGGAGCCTTGCATAAATGCCACTTGAGCTGATGCCACCTGCTGTGGGAGGTCTTTTTTTTTTTTTTTTTTCCTAAGTTTGTGTGTCCTGATTCTAGGATGGAACTATAATCAGTATGGGAAGGCCTTTGCTTTGGTGCCTGTGTCACATAGACCATTTCTTAGTGGGATTTTTAAAAGTCATGGTGGCGGAAGATAGCACAAGCATCAAGGGAGAGAGAAAGGGACAAGGGAGATAGGAAGTCTCTTTTTTTTTTTTTTTTTTTCCTAAGTTTGTGTGTCCTGATTCTAGGATGGAACTATAATCAGTATGGGAAGGCCTTTGCTTTGGTGCCTGTGTCACATAGACCATTTCTTAGTGGGATTTTTAAAAGTCATTTAGGGCCAGAGAGATAGCTTAGCAGTCTAAGTGCCTGTCTGGCAAATGCAAGGACCCAGGTTCAATCCCTGGTACTTCATGCTATGCTGGCCCCGAGCTGAGCTGGCCACAGAAACTGGGTGTTGTGGCACATGTCTGTAATCCCAGTGCAGAGGAGACTGAGACAGGAGGATCACTATGAGTCTGAGCTGTGACTGGGTGAGACCCTGTATCAAAAAAAAAAAAAATTTTTTTTTTTAATCATCTACAGCAAGCTCTTTCTAAGTGGAAAATGCTGGGGTCAGTAAGCCTGGGGAGCAACCTTATTCAAGGTCACAAAATAAACCCAAGCTAAGAACACGGCTCTCCTGACCATCTTCCTGGTGTTCTCTCTGTGTCCCCAGATTCACATAATCCACAGAGAGTCACTTCTGGCTTCTTTTTCAGGGTGATTCGAGGGACTGTGTGAGTGCAGGACTGAGTGTTGCTGAGAGCTGCTCGGAGTAAATTCCAGGGCTCTAAAGCTTTCCAAGTGAAACTTTCAGCAAGACTCTTGCACGCTGCATTAGATGCCGCGATAAGAGCTTCCCGGGCTGAAGAATGCAGGCAGCTCAGGGACAGCCAGGGCCAGGAGTTCCAAGCCCTCAGCCTTTTCCCCAAGTGGATGAATTTAGGGCATGTTTAGGGCAGCAGAGGCAAGATCTGGCAACCCCAATCCAGTCAAAAGTAGGGCTGCTGTTTTCCCTGAAGCAGGTGCTCAGGTAGCCCAGGTAGCCCCCCTCTTCTCTGTACGTTGGCTCCCCTCTTCCCCAGTCCTCCAGAGCTCTCTTCTAAAAGCTACACAGATTCTTCCTTCTCGTTGCCCCAAGTTGGAGCACAGTGGCCGCCTGTCATCCTGCGGGCCCACCGTGGGGAGCCCGTGAAAAGAACAGGAGCCTCTGTTTCCACTCTGGTACCTGAGGGTGAGGCTCAGCAGTCCCACCCCTCCGTAGTTCTCCTTTCCAACTTCAGCTTCACAAGGGTATTGAGGTTCCTCTCTTCTTCCATGATCCATTTGTTCTCTTAAAGAAAAAAATCACCCTGCAAGTGCAGCTATCCATTTCCACGACTTCTAGAGTAATTCTGCACTTTTGTTTTTTAATTATATTTATTTATTTATTTAGGCCTGCTTAGCCCACCCTGAGGGAAGGGCTGACCTGGCATGTGGGGGCGGGGATCAGACCAGGGTCCTCTGCGCCTGCCTAAGCTTGTGTAAGCAGGTGCTTTAGACCTCTGAGCTATCTCGCCAGCTGAAATCCGCATTTTTAAGGATTGATGTTAACTGTGTGTTGAAGCTGCCCGCGCTCCTCTAGCCTGGGCCGCTGGTGGGCCGCTGGTGGTCAAGGCGCTGCTCAGTGGCAAGGTCTCAGAAACACCTGTCGGGGGAGTCAGGGGCCACCTGGGCCAGTGTTTGCCTCTGGCTGGGCCTAATCCACAGTAGGTCTGAAACTGAGACCCGTGGGGCGTCTGGCCACTTTGCTGGAAGGCTCTGTCCTCTGCATGTACCAGAGGAAGCTCTGAACGTGGAGGCATGGAGCATGAGAAACGCTCTTCTGAATTCAGCTCAGTTTCCAAGAAGAGGTCAGAGCCTGGTGGGCAGTTCCTGGAGTGGCCTTGGCGACTATGTCCATGTGCTTTAGAAGGAGGGGAGCAGCGTGCTCGTCCCGGTGCTCTCTGCCACCGGCCAGGGCACAGCTGGGACGCGCCAAGCCTCAGGATCACCGCAAGTGACGCCAAGTGGCTTCTCCTGCAGGCCCTGAGGTGTAATGGCAAAGCGGATCCAGGGTACTCTCTGAGGGACCTGTCCCCGAGATGGTGGGGTGGGGGAACCCTGCACCTCCATTGTGCGCTCAGAGACCTCCAGGCTTCCTGCCTGCGAAATAGACAAGTGCCGCGTACTCCACGGCAGAAGACCAGCTCTTTCTTGCGCGCGGTTCCTCCAGGTCCACACAACCCCTCCCCCATGGAGCCGATGTCCTGTGACCTCCGGGACCAGAAGTCCGCTGGGCGAGTCCTAACCTGTCCTGCTCTCTCTGCAGACCCTGTCCTACAACAAGTACAACCTCAAGCCCCAGAGCAGCGAGAAGCAGGCGAAGGAGATCCTGATTCGGCGGCAGAACACGCTGCGGGAGAGCCTTCGCGAGGGCCGCCGCCTGCCCTGGGGGCCGCAGGTGCGGGTGCCGGTGCGGCAGACAGGGCCTGTCTGCCAGCGTCCTCGTCCCCGGGCTGTCCCCCGGCAGAGCCTCCTGAGGCCTGCACCCGGCTTAGCCCGTGCGGCACCTCGTGCAGCACGCGCGCGTCCACCGCGCCTTCTGCTGGGAGGCTGGGCGCGTGCAGAGTCCGTCCGGGGCTCGGTTCCGAGGCCGGGCCGGGGGTGGCACGGAGGCCTGGGCAGCCCATTGGCACAGGAGGCAGGCTGCGCCGCCTGCTTCTTCCGCCCAGCCAGGGCCTGCAGCACGGCCTGGCCTCTGGCCCGTCTGGGCCCGCCGAGGTTCTCACTGGGTCTCACTCGATCCCCGCAGGCCGGCGCCAAGAACGTCCGCTACCTGTCCTTCCCCTACGGCAAGCAGCAGGCCTGGAGGAGAAACACGGGTGCCACAGAGGCCACAGGTAACCGGGGGGCTCGTCCCTCCCCGGGCCGTCGCCCGTGGCTGCGTGGGGGCCTCGCAAGATTGCGAATCTTAACATTCCGATGCGAGCTGTGGGGCGGTGTGACAGGTTTGGTATCCGGGGAGACCATGGCCTATCTCCTTGTGGATTTTTCCTTTTTCTGCCTTTCTGCACTCATTCTTCTTTTTTTTTTTTAAAAAAAAAAATTTTTATTTATTTATTTGTGTGTGTGTGTGTGTGTGTGTGTGTGGCCAGCTCAGCCACCAGGGGGCGGGGCTGGCTGGCATGTGGTGCTGGGGGATTGAACCGTGGTCTCTGTGCTTTGCTAAGTTTGTTCTAAGTAGGTGCTTTAGACCACTGAGCCATCTCACCAGCCCCATGCACTCATTCTTTATTTGGTTGTTGATCTTCAAATGAATTTGGGGAACTCTGCCCACGATGGGTGTCATCCCTGCCTACTGCCAGTCAGTTTTCCTCAAGCCTCATGTTCAGCTTCTACGTTTTAAGATATATTTGGTATTAGAAAAGTTTTATTAAATCTCCTCTGAAGTGTATGGCAACATTAGGTAGCGATTCACCCAGGTATCTTTGCTGACAAGTACAGTCCTTTAGTTTTTGCATGTGGATTGCAACCCGTGAGAGATTTCTCTTTGGGTAAGGATTAAAGAGATTTTCAAGGGGCTGAGCTCCCAATGCGGTCTTTTCCTTCAGGATAAAATGCCACCTTTGCTCCACTACAACATTCAGGATGAAGATGGTTTTGAACTTCATTTTTTTTCATTGGTCAAATTATCTACCCCCAGACTGGACTCGCCTACTCAGTAGTATTTGAGGTTGTCACTGAGTTACTCTACAAACAAAGCAGGCAAACTAAACCAGACAGCAACAAACATAGGGCATGGGATAGATTGACTTAAAAATATCCTCCTGGTACAAATAATCCAGTGCTATTTTGGCCATTTGGGTGAATAGAAAGGAAGAAGAACGTGACACTGACATTTCTCCTGAGATAACCCAGAGCAGGTTCATCAGAGCCCTGGCGTGTGACTCTTAAATAAGGATTATATTAAAGAATAGAACATCTAGAGACATTCTAGATGACCATCTAGAACAGAGATGACCCACCTTCTAACATGGGGTCATCCCAGAAGGTGGGGCTGTTCTTTGAATGCTGGACGCATCTTGTCACTCAAGTTAGGCCACCGCGCAAGCCACCTGCATGAGCCTCTTCCTTAGGCCAAGAGCCCACCTGACCACAACTCAGAATGTGTCTCCTGAGGGACCTTTACACTCTAGGGAATAAGTGCATGGTGAAAGATCAGGCTGTGGGGACAGAGGCATCCAGGTCACTGTCCCTCAGGTGCTGGCCCCTCTGCAGAGCACAGATCAAGACGAAGCCGTGAAAAGATGGGCTTATTGACTAATGCTACTTACTTTCCGCACTCAGAGCAGCTTGCCCGGGCCTCACTTTCTCCTGCTGGCCTTGCCATGCTTGGAAAGCACTGCTGAGTGGACAGGTTAAGATTTTCTGGTAGCCCCTTCCCAAGCACCCTTTGTCCATATAAACCTCTGACTGTGCTGCATTCTCTTGGGCTATGGGAATATTTTTTCCCCCTTCCTTTAAACGAACACAGCTGCATCCTCATCTCTTGGTCCCTCACTTCCAGTGTCCCCAGGGTTGCCTTCTGCTGGTCAAAAGGGATGAGACTCAGACATAGCGCTCATAGGCTGAGATGTCCAGGGAGCCACCCAGGAGAGGCCAACCCGAAGCAGTCCATCCCCCCACCACACAGCAGTGCCCTGTGGTCTTCAGGTCAGCTGCTGTTGTCATCTAGAAAGACAGAGTGGCAAGAAGGAAAATTGGATTCAGGGCAAAGGGCCTTTTAGACATAGCAAGCTTGTGCCTATGGCTCATGTCCTTGGCCTGTTGGGCCAATCTTGTGACAAAACATTATCTCAGTCACCCAGGGGACTGGCTTGACCAACAGGATTCAATGCATTTTCATGTGCCTATGACACAGCATCAGTCTCCTGGCCTTGGAACAGTGACCTTGAAAGAGAAGCTATGTGGAGGGTGAGGGGTGGGACCACAGAGCAGGCTCAACTTTGCCCTGAGTTCCTGACCTCTGGGCAGGAAGCCTTCACTCCGATACTGAATCTGATTTTCCTTTTTGCCACTCTGTCTTTCTAGATGATGACAGCAGCGAGCCTGGGCTCCCATCCATCACTTTCAGCGCACGACCCCAGTTGGGGTCACTTCGGGAGAGCTGGTTGGCGCGGGAGGTGATCCCCATGAAGAGCTTACCCCAGGGCACAATGACGCTGCCCTTCCATGACAGCAGAGACCCTGGGCTGGGCAGGAGGGCAGTGGTGCGGCCCCGACCACTGTTCCTTGCCTTGGACGAGGAGTTTGAATCGAGGGAGGAGAGTGACGAGGAGGCTTCCACCCTCAGATCCAGGTGGACGGTGGAGCGTGGACACAGCAGGGAGCATGGCCAGTCCCACAGCCCTCTGCTCCGCAGGAAGTAGAGCTGCTGCCCACAGGACTGCTTCTGGGCTTCCAGAGCTTGTCCTCCATGGTTGTGAGAGAGAGGTCTTCAGATGCAAGCCGTGGAGTTGGCTTTCTTGGAGTTACTGGATACAAGTGTCTAAGAGACAGTAAGATGCTAGGGAATCTGGGAACGAGGTGTAGAGGGGCCGCCTTCTGAGCTGGGGGGCAGTGATAGGAGCTGGGCCCCCGCCTTCCTAAGCTCACCCTCTGAAGGCCTCTGACCCAGCACGGGCACTGAGATGGAAGTGGCGCTGGTTGGTGACTCGCGCTGACCACGCGTGTGTGCAGCTTAGAATCAGGCAGAGTGAGGTGGAGTCTTGGCCATCTCCTGGCACAAACGCTGTGTTCGCAGGTGAGGACCCCAGGGCCGAGGTACCTGGTGAGCTGTCCTCCCTCCAGTGAGTGTACTTGTTTTGATTTTGATATCTGATATGCAATCTTCTATCTGAAAAGCTGGCAAAAATTTTTATAACCTTGCTGTATCCAATGGGCAACAGTGGTGGGTGCAGTGCACACTACAGGAGGAAGATCAGATCAATGGCTTCATGGTCTATCCTATAATTGCAATATTGATTTTAAAAGCAAATATTAGAAACACAGTGGCCACAGCATCTGACCACCATGACATGGACACCAGGTACTTGTGAGGTGTACGTAGCACTCGGCGTTGTTCCCCGGCTGCACTTTGAGCCGCACGCTTCAGCTTGCCAATTAGACCAGACAGCACTAACGCTGCTCCCTTCCTCTCTTCCTCCTCCCTCCCTCCTTCTCTGTCCCTCCTCCTCTATACCTCCTCCCTCTTTCCTCCCTCCCTCTAACCCTCTTTCTCTCCCCCTCCCTCTCTACTCTCCTTCCTTCCTTCCTTCCCTCCCTTCTTCCCTCTCTTCCTCTCTCTCTTTCTCCCTTCCTCCCTTTCTTCTCTCTGGCCACCTGTCTCTTAATAATCACTCCACAGGCTTCATTTAATGTGCCAAATGAATAACCTGTGATAATTAACTAGATATCCTTTTACCATTACTATTTCTGGTACTTCTACCACCCTTGCCTGAGTTTTAATCCTGTCCATCTATAAAGGCTCCCACTGAACGTTCCCTAGATCTGCCCTGACCCCTTTCATCCCTACGTGTCCTTGTGTTTTTTTGGGGGGTGCAGAGGACTTCCCTGTGACTTATGCTTCTGCATGAACACATCTGTTTGTTCTGGTGGCCCAGCATGAGAAAGACAAGGAGGGGCCGGCTAGTCATTGGTTTCAGCCACTGGTCTGTCTTGCCATCCATCTATGCTTTCTCTTTTCTGAGCCCTCGTAGGTTTTAGCAGGTTTTTCTCCTCTCGGTGATGTTTACGTCTTGGCTCAGTGGCTGCTTCTCCACGCTCCACTGATTGCAGCACCACAGGTTGGGGAGGGATGTAAGTGAAGGTGTCCTCCTCAGCATTCTTATCTTCCAGATGTCATAGATGGGGGCCTGGCATGCGCTCAGGGTTGCTGTCCCTCACAGGGAAAAGGCCACGTCCTCAGGTAGGACCTAAGGACACCAGGAATGGGCCAAGGACATTTGGCTTTGTCTGAGATTTATATGTTGTGAATGGTTGTCCCTAGCCTGCTGAGCCAGAGAAACGGCAAGGGACCCCTTGGCTGGTCCTCTGGGGCTGTAATACAATGCTGCTTCTGATCTGAGGGCTTTCGCTTTAATAGAAGTTGTACACTGCCACATGATAATGATCAGCTAAGCGGGATAGCATCACATGTAAAGCCTTGGGATTTGCTTTTTGTTTAAATAAACAAGCAAGCAAAGAAGTGTATGGGGGGGGTGGAGACAGAGACAGAGACAGAGACAGAGGTGGCAGAGCTGTCATCCAAATCCACCTTGTTAAGGTGACGGGCAAGGCTGCGTCTTGGAGGTAAGGGGTCCCTACATCACTTATTGTTCTCTATCGATGTACAGCAGAGGTTCGGTTGCACAGGTCCTTCTGAAAGTACCCAGCCAGGACTCAGGTGCAAGGGCTCCACCAGAGTCTCCGGCTTGCTGTCACATGCAGGTGCCATTAAGCAGGGTCTGCATAACTAGTGGAAGTTGCCCACCTGGACCAGGAACCACATTCTACTGCAGAAAGTGAGCTCAGGCCACGGAGAGGCCAACTGACAGAGTGATGGGTGGACAAAGGACTGCACAGGTGACCCCTAGGCCCTGCGTCATCCGAGGCCAGCAGGGCACTTGCCAGCGGCCTTTGCTGCCGGCTTTTCCCTCCACGCCAATGGATTTTTCCTAGATGCACACGGCAGTGATGGAGTTAAGGAGAATAAAGGCAGCAATTACAACCACACATGGTAAAAAGCTAATTTAAAATGTGTGCGTTGTACATTTCTGGAATTTTCCATTGGACAACTTTGGATGCAGTTGCCTCGGTCACTGAAACGGGAAGTGGAACCGAGGATAAGCAAGGACCACTGTATCTCGAAAGGGAGAGAGCACGTGCGGCAAGGAGCAAGGCTACCAACATCTTCCAGTCAGACCAGCTGCTGGCTCATTGGTCCTGTGTCCTGTGCACAGGACGTGGCCGTGTGCCCAAGGCAAGGGTGTAGCCATTGCTCCCCTGGCCACCACATCCCGCATTTCAGCACTCACACAGTCAGACTGCATCTTGTCAATGGAACTTGCGGCTCTGAGTTCATTTCCCCTGCAGGGACGTGGCCTGGAAGTCCCTCCTAATGTGTGGCAACAGAGTTCTCCGAGAGGCTGCAGCTCTGTCAGGCCGGGACAGCACCCAAGGCATGACCGTAGGTCACGCCCTCCAGCGCTGTGTGGAAACAGTGTGTAGCCAAGTGTGGTGCCGCATAGCTGCAAGCCTGCTCCTCAGGAGGCTGAGGCAGGGGGATCAAGGTTGTGAGTTCAAGTCCAATTTAATGAGATCTTGTTTCAAAATATTTTTTTTTTTTTTTTTTAAAAAAAAAGGGGGTTGAGAATGTAGTTCAGCAGCCCCTGGATTCAATCCCTAGTACTGCCACCACCACAGCCCTGCCATGACCCTCAGTGTGAGCTTGCTCTCAGAGGTTTTCCAGCAGATGCCTGTAGTGCAGGGCAGTGAGGGGTTTTGGCCAGGCAGGCTGGATTCTTGGCCCTGCTCACCCCAGGGTGGAATAAGATTTCCTAGTCCCCCTTGCACCCCTGTCTGGGCCTGGCTCCTGGTCAACCCTCCTTGCTAGTGGCCCCAAAGAATGTATGCATTTATCTTCAACCTCAAAAAAATGTCCCCTTCCTCTCCTCCCTTTCCGCTCCTTCCCCCATCTCTTGTGTTCCTTCCCATTTGCAAAAGATGCAGCTCTCTGCTTCCTATCATATCTCTTGTATTTTTCTCTTTAACCTATTCATGTTTTGAGGCTTTTCTTGGATGAGAAATCATGAGATGGTGAAGCAAGTGTGTCTCATTTATTTCACTTAATGTCATAATCTCCAGGTGCATCCATTTACCTACCAATGACTCCAGATTACCGTTCTTCATGGCAGAGTAGTACTCCATTATGTTTCTTGTTTTTATCCATTCATCTGCTGATACACACAGGCCACTTGCAAGAGTGAGCTGTTGTTAGTTATACCGCTACAAGCTCGTGTGTGTGTGTGTGTGTGTGTGTGTGTGTGTGTGTATCACTGTAATCTGACATCTTGAGCCCGTTGGAGAAGATATCGAGACCATAGAGATCTTTAATCCATGTGGTCAGTTCAGAACTCAGGTTCTGAGGTCAAACAACTTTCAAGAGGCTTGAGGCAATTTGAAGTGGACCAATGATAGAATAAGTCTACCTCTGGGATGATTCAATGAAATCAGTGAGGATTGAATAAAGTAATCCATGTAAAACTTTTAGGTTGGTGTTTAGAGTTTGATCACGTTATCTATACTTGCTTGAGAGCAAGTGTCTGGACTCAGGAAAGAGGACGCTGATTTGACGCCACATGAAGTGTCAGTGACTGAGGCTCAGAACTAGCTGGTGAGCAAGACAGAGTGCTGGGGCGCCGTGTGCGGCGGCAGGAGCTGCAGTCGCTGAATATCAGGGGCCTTGTGGGACCGGGTGGTACCATCAGTTCAGAGGTCACCAATCAAAAGCAAAACTGGAGACAGACCCTGTGCGTGGGTCTTGCGCCTTGCTCAGGCTGCCTAAGCACGATGCTGTCTTGCTTGTGTAGGTTGGCGTCCTCCTCCAATGAGCCTTGGATCATTGCGCACGGTCTGAGCCTCACTCATGCTCGGCGCGAGCTCGCGCGTGGAGGCCCTGCCCTCTCCTGACGGACAGCCTGCTACTACAAGGGGGAACCCTCAATGGGAGAATTCCTCAGCTTGAAATTTATTTTCTAGAACAGGACTTCACTCCAAAAAAATGACTCTCTTTAGAGAGACAAATGGTTAAGAGTTTTTAGCAGAGATAAAGAATGGCTACTGGTGTGCTTCATAATGGCCCAAAATTAGGCAAAGCGAATTTCTAAAAAATAAATTCAGTGGATATGTTGATGTTGTGCAAGTTGTTTTATCCACCAATAAAGCAGTTGCTTTCTTGTAGTTTGCATTCTTTTTCCACTGGAAACGCCTGCAAGTGTCTTGCTTCTAACTCCTGAGAAAGCGCACCCGTGTAGACAGCGCCCTTGGCAGACACCGCCCTTGGCAGACACCAGGCCCGCACTGTGAGCTGTCAGTGGGGACCGAAGCCGAGGGCTTCAGAGGCATGCCTTCCAGGAGCAGCCCTGCAGCCCGCGGCGATGAGCCCTTCCTCAGGAGTGCCATAACCGATTGCCTACATTCGTTTTTCTCTGAGGCGCTCAGGAGCTGCCCAGGTAAGCAGAACCCTCCAGGTAAGAAAGGCAGGTTAGAGACCCGCGCAGCCTCCGCCCGCCTTCTGTGAGTTGAGGTTTACGCAGCTGAGTAATTAAAACCAGGCTGCGGCTGAGCCCAGCTGGTGACTACTGCCAGTTAGAGACCTCGGCACACAGCTCTGCCTCACAGTAGCAGATCGCAAGACAAAGGCATTCACTCTGCTTTTAAGAAAACGTTGACGTGGGGGCTGAGGGGACAGCTCAGTAGAATAAGCGCTTGCCTGGCAAGCACAAGGGCCTGAGTTCAATCCCCGGTTCGGGGGGGTGGTGGGTGGGCGAAAACGTTGGTGCATTTGTTTATTAATCTTTGTTTTTGGCTAGTGTTTGTAGGAGGATAGCGTTCGTCAAGGGGAGCTGGCGCATGCGCAGGACACACCTTGGAGCCCTGTGTAGCCCCTTCCCTCCCTGGAATCAGTCTGAGAGGAACAGTCCTGGCCACATGCGTAGAGCAGCGCCCTCTAGACCGGAGGGCCAGGATCACCCCACAGGAAGCGAGAGGGCGGAGTAACAGGCCCCAGGTGTCCCTTGCCTTGGGGCCTCAGACCCCAGGCGGTCCTGGATCCCTCCCACCCTCCACACCCTCCTTTCAGAGAAGTGGGGATGGAATAAGTGGCTCAGAGCCTCTCTCTCCGGGAAACATCCACCAGTAGGAGACAGCAACTCCATCCTACCAAAAACAACAGCTAGGAAACAAAAAGGTCTGCTAGAAATAGAGGAGCCCTTGGGGAAGCTGTCAGCGTATTGAAACATATTTTTATAAATTTAATGGCTAAAGTTAGATGAGCAAAACTGATATTTTGAGTCATTAAAGTCTTCTTTGAGATGTCACAAAATGTTTGTGTCTGATTTAATTTTTTTTCTTTTTATATTCCAATAAAAATTTTTTTTCCAATTTATTATTATTTATTTAACTGGTCCTGA